AATTCCCCAGCCAGGCTGGCTAGGGAATTCTGGGAGTTGAAGTCCACACATCTTCAAGTTCCCAAGGTTGAGGAACACTGTCTTAGAGCGATTTATTCTCCTGTTTCCTCTTCTGTCCTCAGGGACCAGCCGTCCAGTCCCACCGATACCTCTCGCCGAGTCACGCTACCAGAGTGACCACCTTTCCATCTCGCGCACCTTGTGTGGGGCCCTGGTGTTCCCAACTATCGCCAATCTTGTGGGCCGGGTCACATTTCGGAGGGTCAACTCCAACCTCCAACGTACCATCCTGGTGAGTCGGGATGAGCTGAAGGAAAGCAATTTGCAGCATTGAAATGTTTGAGTTGCCTTCCAAAGAATCGCTCCCAATTCAGCCCAGCTGCTTTCACTATGGATTCTCTGTCTTTTGCTATTGAGCTACTGGCTCTCTCTCTCACACACACACACATTACAGCGTTAACCATAATCTAGTTAGCTTTCAGCAGTCTCAGCTGAAGAAATGTAACGGGAAGAAGGAATAACCTTGAGGAACAGGAGGTAGAACCGCTACCAAGACAATGGTCATATAACAGAAATCTGAGTCTGGGCCAGAACTGTAACCTGAGAAAGCAACTCAGACCAGACCCTCCTTAGTTCTCACGAAGATAAAGGGAAGGAGGGGGGAAGCACATTCAGACTTGCAAGATTGATGTCAGTTCTTCAAGTTAGACTAAGCTAGGAAACCAAAGTCAGGCTAATACTATTTTTATTATAGAGCTATTGGGACAGAAACTTGGAATGCGCTCCCCCCCCCACTTTATCTTTGTGAGAACTAGGGGGGGTCTCGTCTGAGATGCTTTCTCAGGTTACGGTTCTGGCCCAGACTCAGATTTCTGTTATCTGACGGTTGTCTTGGTAGCAACTCTTCCTCCTGTTCCTCAGGGTTATTCCTTCTGTCCATTACATCACCTACCTGTTCATCCAGGCTTGGAGCTCAGATTAGGCTATGGTGTTCTTCAGAGTGTTTCTGTTATTCTGTTTGATTACTTTAAACTTAGTAAGTTAGGAGTGTAAGGGTTGAAGGCCACAATCTTGGAGAGTGCCCAAACTGAGGGAGGTTGATCCACGGCCTGTCATTTAATTCCCTCCCCTTTTCTTCTCTCCTGGCAGGGCGGCATTGCCTTCGTGGCCATCAAGGGAGCACTGAAAGTTTATTTCCGCCAACAGCAATACTTAATCCAAGCCAACCGGCGCATCCTCAACTTTGTGGAGAAAGGGGACGCGGAAAAGGACTTGGCTCAGCCCGAGGAAGACAGCAACAGTGAAGCGGGGCTCAGCTAGGAAGAACGGTCTCCACTCCTCCAGAATAAGCAGATTCTTCTCCAGAATAGATTGTATGTCATTCATCGAGCATTGCTCTTGAAGCAAGCACCCTTCAGGCACCCCAGGTGTGGCGGTGGTGCGTTGAGGGGAGAGGTTGACTTGAGGCTGGGTGAGCCAAATCTCTGGGATCTTCTGTATCAGTAAACAGTGCTCGTTTTCAAGCCAGTTCCTCCTTTGCGTTCTGACAAGCTGACCTCGCTCTGTGCTGTCTTGCGTCTTCGCCCTGTTCATTCTGAATCCCACCTGAGCCTGTCCCCTGCTCGCTTTAGAAATCGTAATTTCAATAAACCATTGAAAAGGTCCCCTTCCCATTGGGGGAGTTCATAGTATGGCTCTGCTTGTTGAAGAAAGACGCTGGGTTGTAACATGCTCACCTTCTGCATGGAGACAGGGGTATCCGTGGGGTGGTCAGAAAACTCAAAATGGTGGCCATGACCATGTACCCAAAGCCCCACCTCTTTTTGCATGTGTTGGAATGTAAAACTGGAGTCTTGTGCCCCACGTTTCCATTCAGCTTGCTTTTCCTGTCAGCAGAGTAGGGATCTCCAACTCAGCAGTGTTTCTCCAGGGTCAGGAGAAGCCAACCGCACATCTGCACCACACCCCTGGAATACCTGGAGGAAGAGCTATACTTCCAGATTAAGCAATCTCTTTGCAAAGCAATAAACCCATTTTTCTGATTTGCCCTCCCACTGCATTCTGCTCCAAATGACAGGTATTTTACTGCGGAGGGGGGCTTGGAGCGGAATTTCCATTGGCACGACTGAAGCTTTTTTTTTGCAACTCAGCTTCCTTGTTATCCAGGCAGATGATTTTGTGATTTCGGGGGTGAAATCTTACAGGGAGGAGGGGTGAACTCTTCCTCTGAACTCCCTGCATGCACGCGACATTTTCCGTTGGCGTCAGTGGAAGAATTCCTCAAGATGAATTGCCATGTGGGAATGGGGACAAGTGTTAGGCGGAATGGTTACCCTTCCCTCACCAGCTGCGCGCCCCTTGCAAATACCTCTTCTAGATATGGCAGTTGAGTGTAGTGAAATGCTCCCTGTAAGTGCTAATGGAAATTCCCATCCCTTCCCCTACCCCACAGGAAAAAAGTGTATACTAGATCTAAGAGTGTTAAGAAGTTACATTCAAAGTTCTGCTTCACAATGAAGTGTTCTCTCCTGCTCTAGGCTACCTTGCAGGATCGTTGTGAGTACAAGCAGTAGGGGAGCTATATATGCCATCTGATCACTTCAGGCAGAACACAACTGTAATACGCAAAAAGTTGTGATACTATTGCTTTAGCTCACAAGCTCTGATTTGCGGTGTTTCCTGTATGCGACACAATGGGTATAGTTCTGTTGACACCTACTCAATATTTCTCTATTCCTTTTGGGGTTTTTTGTTTTTTTTTCTGGTTTGCTAATAAAGAACTCCAGCCTTCCTTAGCAGTGGCTCAACACAGTCTCATCCCACGGACAACCTGCAGAGTTTGGGGTTTAGTAGACCATTTCCTCAAAGAATTCTCCATACGGGTCATGTTTTTAATGATTTAAATGTTGGTAGCCTCAAGAAGGAACGGATCCTCTGGTTACCAAGTCATCCATTTCTCCATGGATGCCTCCTCCAGGAAGTTCTCTCTAAGGATCAGATGATGCTTAGGACCTACCGCATCCTTTTCCAGACTGGGCATGCTCCTGAGGTGTGGGCTTTATTTCCCAGAATTCTCAGAAATGGCCATATGGGCTGGGGAATTCCGGGAGTTGAAGTCCATGCATCCGAAGCGCCCTCCAACTGAGGAAGGCCGATCTGCAGACTGCCATTTAAAATCCTACAAGAGTTTTCCCCAACCGGGCCATCCTCCAGCTATCTTAGAGCTCCCAGGAATTCCAGCACATTTGCGGAGTGCCAGGGTGGGGAAAGGTTCAAATATTCATTTGGTGGAGAAGCAGGAAGTATCTATCTCTCCATCTTTGATGTTCTCACTCTCACCTATGTCTTCTCCAGGGATAGAGAACATCCAGATAGCCATCCATTCCTTCCGAGAGGTCAAGAGGCCATCATTAGGTCATGAGAATTAGCCTGCTGGGTTAGATCAAAGTGTCATCTAATCCAAGTTTGGGGAAGTTGGGACCCTCCACATGGCCATCTGGAGGGGACAAGTGACAAAATGGGTGTGATGATGTGGCCACGCAAATGGCACCACTTGCATAGTTGGGTCAAACGGAGGGCCTCAGGACGTGTGTGTGATGTCATTTTAGCATTTGCGGGCACATCTGACCTCTTTGGCGTTGTTCTCCCTAAAGCTGGCGAATCCCAACTAAAAATACATACAACAAACAGGGCTACATTATCCCAAGAAAGCCATAAAATCATCTCTCTTTCCACCACAAGATGGTGCTGGCAGTTTAAAGAATAGCGAGGGATTCTCTCCAGCGCTTGGCTTTAGGCAAAAAAGGTGACCGACTTTGGAGCTCGCCAGATCTACCAGTTTATTTTGGTGGAACTCGGTTATTTTATCCCCGGCGGAGCTTCGTTCAAAGTGGTGGCAGGACAGCTTCTCAGCACTTGTCCAGCCCAGAGACTACTTTTTATTCCCCAGACGGAGCTCTCAGTCTTTTCAAATGCAAGGATGCGTGATTGTCTTTTCCCCCCAACATTTCCCTCCTAAGCCAACTGAATTTTTAGGGAAGTAAGAAGGACCCTTTCAGATTTTCAACAGTCAGATGTGCAGAACCTTCTCTTTATTAGTTTGGCGGCGTGGGGAAAGTGCTGGGCTAGGAACCGGAAGCCGTGAGTTTGAGTCCTCCCTTGGGCAGGGGAGCAGCTGGGTGACTTTGGGCAGATCCCTCCCTCTAAGCCAAACCCACCTCACAGGGTTGTTGTTGTGGAGAACATAGGAAGCAGGAGCATTGTGTGTACCACTTTCAGTTGTACAAAATTAAGGCAGGATATAACAACAACAACTTCTTGTATTGGATTTAATACTAGAACCGTTTTCTCCATCCTGGTGCCTTCCAGATCTGTGGAGCTATAGCTCCCATCATCCCCTGCCTTGATATGCTGGCTGGGGGTGATGGGAATTGTAGCACAGGGAGAGGGTTCTCTCTTGGGGAAGGCTGCCTTGAAGAAGGGCATCTCCTTATGCCAGGAATGGCTGTGGGTGTACCTTGACGTAATTTTCGAACCCTTCTGCAAGTCATCAACGCAGACCCCTGTCTGTCCTTTTCTGGAAACTTCTGTTTGGGAGAAAGAGAGAGAGAGGCAGAAGATGACATCTAAAAAAGATCGTCTAGGTTGCTACCTTAAACTAAGCCACCGCTTAACCATGATTTGCTTTGATCCAGAGATTTGATTGAAAGGCGACCTGATTAACCTCTGAATAAACTTTCCAAATTGGGTTGATGGATTTGCATCCAAGCTTTGAATCCATCCAGGGACCTCAAAAACGATTCAGCAATTTTTCAATAATTGATTTGGAAAATCAGATCAACCCAGTTCCCCCGATGGATTTGAATTATTAAATTGAAACAAATCGACCCTCTGAACTGAATCAATCATTTAACTCTGCCTGGAGCTGATGCACCCATCCCGATATTTAATTGCAACCGAATGTAGATCAAATAAATTTTAATTCCTGTCGTGACCCCACCCGTTTCTTTTTCGGAGTTTAGAGCTTGAGACACATCTGCTCGACCTGGAGACAGCTGTACCATCCAGGCTGGCTTTTTGCTACGTCTCCCCAGATTGCAAAGCTGGCTTCTGCGCCTCCCGAGTAAGCTTTTTCCTATTCTTTTCAAGCAAAGTCTTGGGATTCCTGCTGTTAATCAGTCTCTGGAATCTCTTCCCTTCCTGCTTAATTTCAACACTTGCCACACTGCAACTGGGCTTTGGCATCCTAATTCTGCAAGATTGCTAAGCGATGAGGCCCTGGGTTTGGGCTCAGGACTGAATCCTGCCCCCCACCCCATCATTTTGCACTCATACACCAAGCCCCTCTCCCCTCAACCAGATAATTTCAGCATCTGCACCCAGAGATCCCAGATAGACCCATTTATTCGAAGGAGGTTCGGTCAGAAGAACACCTTACGCTGATGGGAATCAAGGTCTGCCCTCTGTCATCAAAGCGTCCCTGGCCAGCAGGTGAGTTGACCACAACATTGGCAGGTGAAGGAGGGGGGCATGAAAAATCCAGGCTGCCTTTGGAAGGCGAATGCAGGAGCAGCAGGGAAGGCAAAGTGAATGCCACCTTCTCTTGCTAATGTTGGCTTTTTGCTCAGAAGGGAACCTGCTGTTTGTTCTCATTAACTGCTGTTGGGAAAAGTGACCTATTCCTCTTCTGATTCTCTCTCTCCCACACAGCAAAACTGCAGACACCACACACAGGCAGAAAATTAAATCTGACAATCTCCTTGTCCTGAGACTCTCTCCTTGCCCATTTAATAACGTCAGTTGCTGAGGACTAGGGAGCTAAATTTTCACTGATGCTACTCTAAAGGATTCGCTCCAAACCTCTGATGCCTGGAGTACAAGGCTCCTGCCTGCCTCCAAAATTGACACTGGAGGAACTGAACAGCTGACTACTCTTAAAGTTCATTTGTAATGCTGAGTCTGCTGTAAACCGCTACGGTCACATATCATGCTAAGGTTTGTTTTCCTTGGCCATATGTCCTGAGTCCCCTGTGAGGCTGAAAAAATTAAAGTGTGACCCCAGTTGAAAGGGAATTACAGACCCTTTTTGCTCAGCCAGAGCAAAATAGACTGCCTTATGGTGTAGCATTTGTGGCTTAGCACTGCAATGTTGCACTAATGTGCAAATCCAGCGCAGAGTGCGAAAGTGTAAGAATGTTCAGTCCCTCTGAATTTGTACAATTGGCTTTATATGTCACACCAAGCTAATGTGGTTTTCAGGCACACCTGGAAAGGTCAAAAAAGTCAAGATGATGGCTGCAGCTGTGTGAAGCCCCTCCCCTTTTTATGTGCATCATTATACACATTAAGGGGGCGGGGCTTTGATTGCATGGACGCTGTGGCCATCTTGACTTTTTTTTTTAATAACTTATTTTTTTTAAAAGAACAGTAAAAACTGTAAAAACTAAGGTTAAGAAAACTAAGATGAAGAAAAAGAATAAGATAATTAGAAAAAAATAGTAGAGATCAAAAGGTCAGAAAAGAAAAGAAAAAAAGAAATAACAAAAGAAAGAAAAGGGTTGACTTCCAACCCTCCTCGCAACAGGTACAAGTAACAATAGGCATCAAACTCTTAAATTTACAGCATAACTTCCATATTTCTATTAACCCATATTATTTCTAATCATCAAATCCATACAACATAATTTCG